GCCGTCTTGTATTGACACCATGCCTGATGTGTGCCATACATTCGATAATTTGCCCAACATCGTAGGCGGGTTTTAAGTGCCCTGTCTAGCTTGGGCCGCCACCACACTGGTCTGTAGTTTCCACGCCTCGGACGTAACGGAGCGAGCTCGTCCATAAGCCGGCACATACCTACTTGGATCTGACGCCATCTCTCTTCCACTGTGGCCTCGGGAGACTCTGGTGTCCAGATGACCTGCTCCGCTGCTTCACGCAAGGCCGCCTCATTTATACGACTATAGCACCGTACCAATGAGGCTTCTGGCTTCCTGTGCTTTCCGTGAGCAGGAATCTCAACACTAGATGATCACTTTGCCCAGTGGTTCTACTAGTTTTATCTCGCTTATATCCGAAACGTATCTTGTTATAACTAGGTCCAAGATGGATGACCTCTGTTGATCCCTGAATCTTGTGGCCTGCTTAACTTGTTGTGTCAGCCCGTGTGAGTGTAGCCAGTCTAGCAGAGTTTTACCTGTAGACCCACTCGTTGCACGCACTTCCACTCAGTCGATCTCCGGGAGATTAAAGTCTTCAACTATTAGAACCCTTTGGGACTTCGAAAGGCACATTTGCATAACTCAGTATTCTCTATGGATGTTGCTTGTGGTGCTCTGTACACACACATTATACTTAGTAGTCTCCTACCTAAGAACACATTGCATGCTATGACCTGGATATTAGGTGTGGCTAGGGTGGTTTGTGCATTCCAATGGTTCATATTATTCTTGACCAAGATCAACACTCCTCCCCCTTGTCCGCCATCCTCTCTATCCTGCCTGTAGACAGCATATTTATTAGGGGAGTTCGTGAAGGGCTCTTTTTGCATCCATGTTTCCGTGATTGCAATGATCACTGAACCTTGGATTTGAGTCTCCACTTCACCCCAATTAGCTTTAATGCTACAGGCATTTGTATACCACACATTGGCAGCCTCATCCTTCTTAGGGTGGTGAGCCTGCCCTAATTCCGGTGAATCCTCGGTAGCAGTTCAGTTTGTACAGGACGATGTGTGGCCCGTGCCAATCTTGCGTCAGGTCAGGTCAGGTCACAGGACTTTTGGTTCGAGCCAATATGTGTCCAGCTCCTTGCACCCCGAACTCCGTGTTCTCGTTGTGCTTCGACTGCAAAGCGTTCCTTTGACCCAGCTTATCTGCAGTCGCTGGATTCTTCAGTTCAGTTGTCACAGGACAAATTGTGGCTCCTGCTAATCGAGCGTCCAGATTTGTGTGTTGTCGGCGAGTTTCCTTGGCAGTCAACACTTCGATATACATTTTTTCTGAAAGGCAGAAATACGTGGTGCAGTATCACATCCCTTGTGGTTAGATTATAGATGGTATTAAACGCTTACCTCAGGGAAAACCGTTATTCAACACTCATCAAGTGCCTTTTTAAAAGCATTCACAGTACTGCAGCTTACCACTGACAACGGCAACCGGTTCCACAACGGAATTACCCCGTTAGTGAAAAACGTTGCTCTCAGTTGTAGCCTTGAGTGGCTTCTCTGCAAACGTAAGTAATGTCCCCGCGTGCCTCTATGCTGAACCCATGATATTAGGTCGTCAAATCTAAGCCCTGACATACCCTTGACAATCTTAAATGTCTCGATTAGGTCTCTTCTCACCCGCCTCCGTGTGAGGGAGAACAGGTTTAAATCTCCGAGCCGCTGTTCATAGCTCCTTCCCCGTTGCCCAGCTATCATTCTTGTGGCTAGACTTTGAACCCTCTCTAAGGTATCAACGTCCTTCCGGAAGAACGGAGCCCAAGCCTGCACACAGTATTCCAGATGTGGACGTACTATGCTTTTGTAAAGAGGAACAAAGACCTCTGGTTTTCTGCATGTCATCGTTGCGCATAGACGAAACAAGTGTCCTCTGGCTTTGTTTGCGGCCTTCACACATTGGGTACTGGGTTTAAAATCCCGTGTGAACACTATGCCTAGATCCTTTGCCTCGTGCACCCTTTGCATCGGCAGGCTCCCTGCTGTCTCTTCGTCAGTATCTGACATTTAGAGACATTTAATGGCNNNGGCTCACCTTTGTACTACCATTATGTCCCTTGCTAGATCCCATCCAGCTATCTTGACGTCATATGCAGACAGAAAACAAGGATTTTGGAGATCCCGTGCTAGGTCGTTATTGTATAGCAGGAACAGCAGTGGTTCAAGCACGGACCCTTGGGGTACGCCGCTTGTAATCACTTCCTCCTCGGATGTGTAAGCTCCTACTTTCATACTAAACGTCCTCTGCGTAAGAGAGCCCATTATCCAGCTCCTGACTTGTCAATCTACTCCCAATAATTTCATCTGATGCTCCAACAGATGGTGGTTGACCGAGTCGAATGCCTTCTGGAAGTCCAGATAGCATACCGCCACCGGCAGGCCCTCATCAATTCTACGAGTGACCCCATCTAGGAACACCAGCAAATTTTTCAGACAGGNGATCTCTTTTCCAGAAATCCGTGCTGAGCTGATAACAATAGCCCGCTTTTGACCACGTAGCAGCATATTTATCTTCTAACTGGACGCTCTAAACACTTACATATTACTGATGTCAAACTTACGGGTCTGTAATTCTCGGCTATTTGCCAGGCTTGTGTATTGCCACTACCGTGGCTTTGCGTTAGTTGTTCGGGTCAGTTCCCAGTCTAAGCGACTCTTGAAATAACTCGAAGATTGGCCTTGCTATGATGTCAGACAGCAGTTGCACAATCGCTGGGTGAATTCCGTCAGGCCCCGCCGCCTTGAACCTATCTAGCCCTGCCAACTCCAGCTGCACATCCTGAATTCCCACAATGATTGGGGGCATCGTGCAGTTACCTTCAATTGATGGAAGGTTATCTGTCACCCTGGCGATCCTGTACGTGTTTTTCAAGAACCGTTACAGGATGCATTCTCGATCGCCTTCACTCACTGCTAACTCTCCGGTCGACGATTCCAGAGTACCAACCGTTTCCCGAGTGTTGCGCTTAGATCGAACATAAGCGTAAAAACACTTGGGATTTCGCTTGACGTTTTCGCCAAGTTTCTCTCAAATTGGTATTTGGCCTCTCTTTGGACTTTCTGTGCATAGTTGCGCGCTTGTTTGTAACCATTCCACGACTGATGGTTGCCATACTGTTTATAGACCGCCCACCGTCTTCTACGAATGGTTATAGCCCTATCTATATTTGCTTTCCACCAGGGAGGCCGTTGCTTCCTTCCTAACGGAACCAAAGACGCAAACCTATCCGTAAGTAGGAGAAGTCCTGTCTTTATATGGCTCCATCTGGTTTCCAGAGACGCATCGCGTGGGTTGGGTACCGAGTTTATATCCTGCGCCGCTCTGGCCAGTTCTTCTTGGTTGATTTTACCATATCGCCTCCCTAGTTTGGCCGCTGGTTTGTTGTGTCTGCTTTCTAGCGTTCCCTAGAGGCTCCTCCTGGATTAATGTCCTTATGTCTCCAGGGGTTCTGGTGATCACCAGATCTAGTATGGACGGCCTATCATTTGCTCTAAGTCGGGTGGCTTGACGCATGTGTTGTGGTAATGCGTGCATATGTAGCCACTCTAAAAGCAGTCCACCCCCGGTAACTGCTGGTGCTCTGTCTTCACTCCAGTTGATCTCCTGCATGCTGAAGTCATCTACTTACAACACCCTTCTGGACGTGGCAAGGAATAATTGCAGATTAGCTATCAATGCCTGGTCTTTTGTTTCAGTCGCCTGCGGAGCCCGGTAGACGCACATAATGGCTAATGCGTTACTGTCTATTTTAACTACGCAACTGATGGCTTGTATGTTGGGAGTCGCTAGGGCTGCTACTGCCTCCCACTGCGTGTGAT